TTAACAATTTGGGGTAAAATAATTACTTCAACAAATAAAGCAAATTGCACCGCACTTAGCAAAGTGTATTTTAATTACAAAGATATATTTCATTACAAAAAGTTTGTTACAAAGGGGAAGAAAAGAAAGAAAAAACTGAGCTTCCAGGCTCAAAGTACAAGGACTGCCCGAACTAATTAAGGGACTTATCATTCTTGCTCGGAGCCTCCGCAGAAGTGCCAGCCTGGTCGGTAGCGTCAACCTCTCTGATGCCTTCGTCGCCCTCCTCCTCAGAGTCCGGGCTTCAGCGGCTTGCTGGGTGACCTCTCCCGTGATTCGTGAGGTGGTGATGGCGCTTACATCAAGATGCGGGAACTCGTGCTTTATCAACCACCTACTGAGCTTGAAGCCTTTGCGGTAAGCCTCCACCAGCACCCCGTTGAACTCCTTCGATTTGACGTAGTCCTGGACAACCTTGACTTTGGCCTCCTCCATGGTGCCAAGGAGAATCTCAATTCGCTCCTTGACGTCGGCTTCAAGGTTCTCTACCTCGCGCCACAGAGCCCCTTATCTGCCTCAAGGTTTTCCACCTTGCGCAGTAGCCCCTTATCACGTCCATGGCGCCTGAATGTAGTTTTTCTGAGCTATGGCACCACTCTCCAATCAGTGGATTTGACTGCGAGCTAGCTTCAGATCGGTGTGAACCGTGCGGGCTAAGTCTTCGGCAACTAGAGCTCGCTTTAAGTGCTGTCGGACTGGTAGGTCAAGGCATGCACGGCGTTGTTCACCTGCCAAGAATGCCAGTTAGCACCAGTAAGGCTACAAATGTAAAAATTGAAGTTTAAACAAGACTTACCACCATGCAGTGGGTAGCTGCTTGAGCTCCGAGCTGAGCAGGTGATAGCTCGGCCCATTCGGAGACCTCCTCGGCACACACAATCCCTTTGCTCTTCCGAAGGCTGTACTGCGGGTTCAGGATGCTCCGAGCTGTTCCTTCGCTCCCTGAGGTAGTCTCGGGCATGGAAGCGGGCTCTGTAGTCGTCTTGGGAGCGGGCTCTGCAGTGGTCTCGGGAGCGGGCTCTGTAGTGGTCTCGGGAGCAGGCTCTGTAGTTGTCTCGAGAACGGGCTCCGCAGTCGTCCCGGGCTCCCGAGATGGGTGGTTCTCCGACTCCTCCAAGTCGATCACCGGAGGAGCAACAACAGGCTGTTCGAGCTCGGGAGTAGAAGCCTGTGGAGGTTCAATGCGAGCTCTCTTAGTAGCTCGCTTCTTCCTTCCTTTCATCTTTCCAAAGAGCCTTTCTGCACGAAGTTGCTCCATAGGTCCTGCAACAAAGCTCGACATCAGTGATGCGACCAAAAAGTGCCAGYTCTAGTCGATCCATCCAAAGGCCAATAGCTACTACGCCAATCCCCTCAAAAATCATAGGAAACTTCCACCAACTCTATCAAAATAAAACAGAAATCTTCCAAATTTTATTGTTTCTTTGCCTTACCGAATAAAGGAAATACTAACAACATGACCAAAATCCTCAAAAACACAAAAATCCTGCGCCTCAACTCAACAAATTAAAAGCCAAAATGATTCGACTTCAGAAATTAAGTCAAATTTCAGTACGAAGGCAAAGAAAACAGCTTCAAAAATCTTCAATGTTCTTATTAGCTTATCCAACATGAAAGAAGTACAAAAACAAATGTGTACAACGTAAATACATACAAAATAGTGTAAAAGACTTAAACCTCCCTTCAAATTTTTCTTAAATACTAATCCTCCTCTCACTTTTTAAAATTGACTAATAACTTGTGGACTTTTTGATATACATAAAATACCCCTGTTTCTTAGTTATCTATATCTGTCTATACTACTATAAAAAGTGCAAATACCTTGCATTAGCTTTTGACTTTTCAGGGAATATAAAATACCCTTATCTCTTGGTTTTAAATTTAAAAATAAATGATGGCAAAAGTGGTATTTTACTTTTTTCAATGATTCATTGAGAGTGTAATTTTGTAAGGTTTTTTCTGTCATTTTATTTCTGCCTTGATTTTTCTTCCCTTACATATTTATCTTCTTCAATGGAGAGAGAGAGAGTGTGTGGCTGAAACATCTTTGGAAATTATACTATCGTCTTCCTCTTATAATAAAACAACCCTGTTTCACAATTTTCACCAATTGGGTCTAGAAATAAATTAGATTGACCAATTCAAGCTGATGATTTGATGTTTAAAGGTGGTCATTTACTTAGACACCTTTTTAGTTTGACATATTTACTAAAACCTACCCTCTATTTTGCGTATTACTAAAACACTCTGTATGGTTTGCATATGTTTTATTTAATTGATCCTCCATCAAGAACCATTTGTATTTCTATCTAGGAATGGTCACATGACCCCTTAAGGCATGCTGAAGATATGAAGGGGCATTATGGTCCAAGGTTTTTATTCCAAAAATGGCCCTAATAATTTTCTTATCAACATTTTAGAAAACAAATAAACCCTCTTTCCATATGATAACTTTGTCGGAAAAGGGGTGGACTACATGTGATACGAGAACTTTTAAGGCTTTTTTTGGAATAAAAAAACCTTGGGTCCATGCCCTTTAAGAGGTAAAGTGGACATTGCCAAATGGGATTACAAAAGGTTCCTCGTGTAGRATTGAATATGTAAAGTAATTACAAATTATAGGTGTGTTTTAGTAAAATGCAAACTAGATGGTAGGTTTTAATAAATACATAAAACTATGAGTGTCTAATTAAATGACCCTAAAAAACACTAAAAGAAAACAATGCCTGAAAAATGATTGGAATATTTCCTTGTGGATGGCGGGCCAACAATTCAATCATTTTGTTCAAACAAGTTGGCCCATAACATTATTAAATTCATTAAATAATAAAACATAAAAATATAAAAAATAAAAAAAAATTATAGAAATAATTGGGTATGTCTATAATAATATCATATATTCATCATAATAAAACAAAATATGTATGATAAATGAAATTAATGTTATTAATGATGGAAATAGCTAAAAAAAAAAAAAAAAAGAGAATTAATGTCTAACATTTATCAATCAAGTCAAATGAGTCGATGGTTCAATTGCTCAAGTTGTGAAGTTGTTGTCCTAGCGAATGGCATGTTTTGAAAAAAAAAAATAGTGATTCAGGTTGAATTGCAACAAATCCACCAATACACCTTGCTTCAATTTTGAGGTGATCATTTTCAACCCGGTCTAACCCAAACATTCCAAGCTCGGGCCTATATTTCAGGTTTAGGCTCATTTGGGCTTGGGTCTGCATAAATCCCACATATTTCTTATTCAGACTTGGCCCAACCACACATGCAAACATATCTCTATATGTTGTTTTATATATAAATATTATTTTTTATGGAATATAAAAATATTACAATATGACACTTTTAATAAATATTATGACATATAATACAATATATTATATGATTTATCACCATCTCAAATCGCCACATGCATCACACATGCACATTTACTAGTTGATATAAATATTGCAACAAAAGAAAATAATTAAAGATCCATTTGATTTGCGGTTGTAATTGGAAACAAAATCAAAATTGAAATAACTTGGAATTGGAATTAGAATGAACTATTCCCCCTGGATGTTTGGTTCAGACAGGAATTGGAAGAAGAATTGAAAGAAATTCTCATTTCTGACAATGACAACAATGACTTAGCTCATTGGGAGTCCCAATCTCCTGCCCACGTTTATTGCAACCACACATGGATAACATCTCAACCTCTGCATAGTATTATGCAGGGGRAGATGCTCCCAATTCACAGGGTAGTGTGTTGTGGGTARACGTGGACAGAATTCTTGTAGGCAGGATCTACATTCCTTTTGTGATTGATTGGAATTAATAAGATCTATTAGAAATTTGAGATATTGGGAAAAATGTTTACCCCCTATTCTTAAACCTTGTTGGTTGGCCCTTCARGGCTTCAAAAGCCTTCAACCCTTCACCCCTTCTCACTCTTGGAAAATATAGATCAGCTTAACCTTAAGCTCGTTAATTGCCAAAAAAACCAGTGAGGGCCCGGGCCTGAGCTGAGCATTCTAAAGTTGGGGCCCGAATATCTCCCATATCCAATTTATGCCCAAATCATTGACTGGTACATGTGGTTGACAATGGGGACCAAGATTTTTAAAATCAAAACAGACAATGGTTCTTGGGTAGAATGGTTTGATCGTCCGAACTGAATGAATGGTCTGTTCTGACAAAAAATTATAAAATTTAAAAAACAACCAAAGAACCGTTGAATGATTCGGACGGTTTAAACGCTCGAATCAATAGTTTACTGATCAAATCAACAGTTTTTGGCCAAAAAACAGTTCTGAAATAAAACGAAACTAATCAGATAACCAGTTCCCAATTTTTTGGTTCGACCATCCRATTTGATCCAATTTTGAAAACATTGATCAGACTACTAATTGTTGGGCCCTACTACCTAATACACTTTTTTATCTATGAGAAGATTCAGTGTGGTTGGAATTTTCTTCTCTTTACTTTCTTTCCCATCTTAACTTCAGGTCTTTAGCTCCCCTCCCCCAAAAAATTGTGATGCGTGTATTGTTTTTATACCAACCAAAATAAACACATTAAAATTAGTAACTGCTATCATCCTATCAACAATTGAATTTTTAGTAGATGATCTCCTACGAGGACTACCTCTCAGCAGTGGACACGTGGTATCTCCATTTTTTTTGGAGTATAATGAAAGACAATTCTCGAAACATCTTTAATTTTTGGGTCCCACTTGATAACTTCTGCTCCCACTATGTTCAGCTAACCCAATGAAAAAAAACAAAAGTCTAACCTTTTTCGAGATAGACGAAACTAACTTGAATTTTGATGAATTCTCATTGTCAAGCGTTCAACGTAAGGCAAAAGCAATATGAATTTGCTTGTTTCTGTCTTGAAAAATAAAAGGGTAAATTACAAAGACCGAGTCTGTGACAAAGACCCCCTGTGCTTTGTGCTTTGTTATAAATCCTTCTGTATTATGACCGTGAGGCAAAGACCTCCTTCCGTTAGTCTTTTGTCCAAAAATGTCATTATAATGTTTTTTAATTCCCATAATACCCTTATAATAACTAGACGAGAAAGACACTATTGATCTTCTTCAACCTTTCGATACTATCCTTCCGTTGGAACAACCCCACGCCCAGCAAGTGAAAAGATCTCTGGTTGTTGCTCTCTCTCCTATGTTGGACAATGCCAAGACAGTGGGACTGATCTCTCTGCCAGGCGCAATGACTGCTCTTATAATGGGAGGCGCGTCTCCTCTGGAGGCCATTCAGCTGCAGATCGTGGTTATGAACATGCTCATCGGGGCATCAACTGTCAGCAGCATTATGTCAACTTACCTCTGTTGGCCCGCCTTTTTCACCAAAACTTACCAGTTGGAGACCAAGGTCTTTGCTTCCGAGTAGGCACCCAGCTGTGTTGCATTTGCATATATAGATGATAGCAGATCTCCTACGAGCAATTTGTTGAATGTGAGCTGATGCATGCAACTGCAGGGAGTTTTTGTTCAGTGACAGAAGCATGATTTTCTACCAACTTGTGATTTTGTGAATGAAATTTGCTGAACTCTTGAATTTCAGTAACCATTTAATGAAGGAAATCCCACAAGGAGTATTTGGTGAATATATACTGAATATATAGCTTTGTCTCTACTCTCTACAGCCTACAGGCTGTTTCTTCTTGGATTGCAGTGGAAACAGGACTTGGTGGAATTAATTAATTGACCCACCCACTCACCAAAGAGGAACAGTGTTTGTCTCCTGACAGTGAAGCCGACGTCCCAATTGCCGGTGACCTAAGAATTATTGATGTTCAAAGAGGAAACGGAGACSGAATTGAGAAACTAGGTAGGACTTGGCTGCACGAATTGAGAAATGGAGACCGAATTGCTAATGGAGGAAGATTTGGCCCGACCCCTTGGCTGCACGACACGTGGAAGAAACCAGGTAGGAYTTGGCGGGAGCGCCAGCTCAGCACAGTAACAACCATGTCCTGAGAAGACCCGAGCTCACCAAGGGGGAGCTCGACGTCATAAGAAATTGCTAAGGATGAAGCCCAAACTGACATACGTATCCCAAGAAGGACCCGAGCTTTCCCTTAGAGACCCCGAACCTTGCAAGGAGCATCCTAAAGGGCAAAAGCTCGAGCTAACCCACCTCGGCCCTGCTCGGAGCACATCTATCCGAACTCAAGACCACCTCGCGCCCCCCCTCCGGCACTTCGACTCCAGGTCTCATGACCAAACGAACCGTACCTGACACCAAAGAGATCCGTACCCGGAGATGGCGT